TAATGATCAATACATCTTGATTGCATGTTTGATCAATTTCAGATTGAAGAAGTTGGTAGAATTCTTCTATTTCATCCTCACTGGCTTTAGTGGTTGGTGCGTAAATTTAAATAATAGTGGTATTAACTGGGCTTCCCTGTAGTCGCATGGATATTATCCTGTCACAATGTTGTACCTCATGAGTGGTCTGGATTTGTTCTTTTTAACAATGAATGCAACATCATTCCTTTTCAATTTGTCATTTCCGGCATAGTAAACCATATGCTCATCAGATTCAAAATGGCCAATACCAGTCCATTTCAGCTCACTAATGCCTAAGATGTCGATGCTTATGCGTTCCGTTTCATTTTTGACAACTTCCACTTTTCCCAGAGTCATACTTCTGATTTTCAATGGATGTTTACAGCTGTTTCCTCTTCATTTTGAGTTGTGCCCCATCTGCAAATGAAGATCCCGCGGGCACTACTCCTGTGGGCTTTACTCCATTCGCATCATCACGGTCAACTGTACTTTGAGGAGGCAGCTCTTCCCCAGTCGCATTTTGAGTGCCTTCCAACCTGAGGGGCTCATTTTCTGGCACTCTGTCTTACAATGTTTCTCTGCTATTCATAAGGTTTTCAGTGACTAAATATTCAGAAGTTGTTCGTCACTCCTTCTTCCTAATCTGTCTTCAAGGCTTTCAGCTGTATAGTGTGACAAATTATATATCACATGGTGAAGAATGGGTATTTCAGAGCACTTAATTATGCTGATGAGGAACCTGTATATAAACCAAGAAACAGTGTTAGAACAGAATAAGAAGATACTGTTCTGTATCCTTACACCATACTTACCCAATCTGTATGCTGAGAAAATAATCCAAAAAGCTTGATTGTATGACAAAGAATGTGGCATCAGGATTGGAAGGAAGACTCATTAGCAACCTGCAGTATGCAAATGATAACAACTTTGCTTGCTGAAAGTGAAGACAAATGCAGTCTTCATTATGTATTGAACCTCAACATAAAGAAAGCAAAATACAAAATATTCAAATGAAGAAAAGATTGAAATTGTTAAAGACTTCATTTTGTTTGGATCCACCATCAACACTCTTGGAAGCAGTAGTGAAGAAATAAAACGATGTACTGCATTAAGCAAATTTGCTGCACAAGATTCTCTTTAACGTGTTTAAGAGCAAAGATATCAGCCTGACCCAAGCCATGGTAATTTCAGTAACTTCAATCAATAAGAAAGATTGGAAAATAGATACATTTGTATTATGGTGTTGAAGAAGATTATTGAAACTACTTTGGACTGCCAGAAGAAAAGTTGAATCTATGCTGGCAAAAGTATAGCCATAATGCTATTATAGAAGCCAGAATGGCGAGACTTCATCTCTCATACTTTGGACATGTTATTAGGAGGGACCAGTCCTTAGAGTAGGACATCATACTTGGTGAATTGGAGGGTCAGTGAAAAAGAAGACAAGGAGATGGACGATTGACAGTGGCAGCAATGGGTTCAAACATAGCAATTTTGAGAATGATGCAGGACCCAGCAGTTTCATATGTTGTGCATAGGGTTGCTATGAATTTTAATTGACTTGAAGTCACCTACCAACAATAGCAAATTTGTCTGTGTTTTTTCCTTGCTGATGTTTATATATCTTACTTTTAGGTCTTGAGTTCATTTTGTATGTTATGAGAGACATAGATCCTGTTTAATTGTTTTTGCTGATGGATATCCAGTTTTGCCAGTATCATTTGTTTAAAAAGATTATCTCTTCCTTACTTAATTGGTTTCCGCCCTTTGTCAAAAATCAACTGCCCATACATGGTTGGCTTTACTTCTGAGTTCTTAATTCTTTTCCACTGGTGTACATGTCTGTCATTGTTCCAGTACCAGACTGTTTTGAATACCATGGCTGTGTAGTCTGTTTTGAGATTAGGAAGTGAGAGGACTCCTACTATATTCTTCATTAGTGGTGCTTTTTACTTTGTTTTGTTGTATGCGGTCAAGTCAGTTCCATCTCATCATGACCTTATATAGGGTTTCTGAGAGCAACTGGTAGGTTGGAACTGCCAATCTTGCTTTTTATCCTATAGTGCCACACCAGGGTGCTTAACCAGGGTCTATTTCCTTCCCGTATAAAGTTGGTGATTAGTTTTTCCATCTCATTTAAGAATGATATTGGAATCTGGATCAAGATTGCATTATATATGTAGATTGCTTTGGATTGTATTGATATTTCACAATGTTAAGTTTTCTATTTCTAATGTATTGAGCATTTTTATCAGGAATCAATGTTGGATTTTGTCAATACCCTTTTTTGCATCAATCAATATGATCATGTGGTTCTTTTCCTTTATTTTATTTATGTAGTGGATTCTGTTAATAGTTTTTCTAATGCTGAGCCACTCTTGCATACCTGGTGTGAATCCCATTTGGTCATGATGTTGGTATGTTATTGGATTTTGTTATCTAGAATTTTGTTGAGAATTTTTGTGTCTCTGGTCTTTAGGAATATTGGTCTATAATTTTCTTTTTTTAATGATGTCTTTACCTGGTTTTAGTATCAGGGTTATGCTCACTTCATAAAATGAATTTGGGAGTATTCCATCATTTTCTATACTATGAACTAGTTTGAGTAGAATTGGTATCAACTTTTCTCTGAATGTTTGGTAGAATTTGCAACTGACACCTTCAGGGCCCAGAGCTTTTTTTGTTGAGAGTTTCTTAATGATTTGATCAATTTCTTCTTTTGTTAAGGGTCTGTTCAAATTTTCTACTTAAGTCTGTGTTAATTTGGGTAGGTGATGTGTTTCCATGAAATTGTCCATTTCTTGTAGGTTTTCAAATTTGTTGGAGAACAGTTCTTATAGCTTTGTTATAATCCTTTTTTAGTTCCATTGGGTCTGTTGTGATATCACCCATTTAATTGCTTATTCATGTATTTTTTGCATCTTCTTCTTTTCCTTTCTGCAAAATGTTTTGCAGAATGACCATATCATTTTTAATTCCTCCCAACAATGTGTAAGAGGTACTTTCTTCCTGCAACCAATTTTCAGCAAAAGGAGCAAATACAGGTTTACTGTTACTTTCTGAGGGAGCTTCAGAAAGTTTGTGGAAAAAATCTATTATCTCTTCATTCCATTTTCCATGAAATTTTTGAAGCTTTCTCCTATTTGATGAAATATTTCCTTCTTTAAGAAATCATTTTTGTTAAGAATTTGTAATGATATGATATGTTACTTATAAAATTTTTTAAATGTATATTAATTGCAAACAAAATATTTTTAGCTAATTTATATTTCTCTGAGAAACTACTCTGGATAGAGGACTTACTGTGAAAAATTGAATTTATTTTCAATTTATATTCTTTTGTACTATTTGGATCACTGTTGAGTATGAATTACTTGTTTTTTAAGAAATTGATTTGCAGAAAATTACATAGGAAGTTTTTGGGGTTTTGTTTTTAGAAAACTCCCAAAACAGCATATACACTAAGGAACTCTAGGAGAAAAATATACTAATGTAATGGAAGCTGACTGTACTTTGGTAGGGAGACTTTGAGTATTGTCTTTATAATATTTTTTGTTTTCTAAGTTAGTTTTATTTCTGTTTATAATAGCTAGGTAGGGGAGGGAGACAAATAGGAAATATTTTTAAAACCTGAATGTTTCTTTAAATTTGTCTTTAAAAGCTAATTTAATTTTAACTTTTAGAATCAAGGATTAGAATTATCAGATGTATTGTGTGCTATGCAAAAATAATTGGAATAGTATCCACCTGAGATATTTCAGGTTGAGGTTGTTCTGTTTTGTTTGTTATGTATGCTTTCTTTTATGTTTCAGTGCCAAGCCTAAATCAGAAATCCACGTGTCTATGGCTGCTCCAGTCACTGTGTCTGTGGAGACAGTATCTAATCAAAATAATGACCAGCCCACTATTGCAGTCCCTCCTACTATGCAGCAGCCTACACCAGCCATTCCAACCATGATTGCAGCAGCTAGTCCGCCTTCACAGTCATCGGTCACCCTTTCAACCATTTCTGGAGCAGTCCACATCACTCCTCCCATTACTACTATTGCAGCTGCCCCACCACCATCGGCAGCTGTGGGCAGCACCACTCACTCCTCTGTTTTGGGCCCGCCTGTTACTGAGATAAAAGTTAAAGAAGAGGTGGAACCAATGGACATCATGAGGCCAGTTTCCAGTAAGTTCACTCACAGAATACTCTTAATTAGCAGTGCTTCTTCCCCAACTCCTTAATCCTAATTTTAAATTATCATTAAAATTCTCTTCAGAGTTTGCGTTTATCGAAGGACTTGGTCCCCTTGAATGGTGTATTTGCTTTTCTTATATTATTTTTCATAAGTGAAAGATGCATTCAATTCCTTCTAAAAGCTAAAACCATTTGTGCTGTTTTATAATTTTAATTACTTACCCAAATCATAAAAAGATTAATATTTCTCCATGGATATTTTTGTTTGCTTTTATTCACTAAGAAAATACAGTCATATATCATTTAACGCCCATCATGATGATGTTACTTGCCATCGAGTCTGTTCTGACTCATAATGACCCTATTTTCAAGGAGCAGCTGGTAAGTTTGAACCACCAACCTCACGATTAGCAATCCAGTGCTTATCCTACAGCGCCAAAACCAGGACTCCATCATAGGTTCCATGGAATAGGACATTATGTGACTTAGACTTGTACAAAAATTTTATTACATACAATCAGTCCCCAGATTATGAGCAAATTCCATTCCTAAATCTATCGTTTCGTGGAATTTATACATAAGTACTGTTCAGTTCTAAAGTCAGTTAAGTATTTGTCTTAGTATATAGTGTAGCTTTCTCTCCATAAATACATTAGAGAAACACTTCTAGATGCACTAAAGCATCTGTAACATAGTTAAGTTGTTGTTAAGTGCCGTTGAGTCGGCGACCTGCGTATGGTTTCCAAGGAGTGGCTGGTAAGCTTGAACTGTAGACCTTGTGGTTCAAACCAACCTTGTGGTCCAGTGCTTTATCCCACAGCACCACACCAGAACTGCTGAATGACTGGTGGGTTTGAACAGCAACCCTTTCAGTCAGCAGTCCAGTGCTTATCCTACAACACCACACCAGGACGTAGATACACATATCTAGGAGCTCTGGTAGCGTAGTGGTTACGAATCAGGCTGTGAGCCACAAGTTCAGCAGTTCAAAACTATCAGCTGTTCTGCGGGAGAAAGATGAGGCTTTCTGCTCCCATAAAGATTTACAGCCTCAAGAAACCCTGTTCAGAGTCTCTATGAGTCGGAACCGACTCCACGGCACATAACCACCACCATTCTATATCTATATATCTATATCTATATATCTATATATATATATGGTAGTGGTGTTCTGTGGAGTCAGTTCCAACTCATAATGACCCCGTCTAGGGTTCATCTTTCTCCTCGGAACGGCTGCTGGTTTCAAACTACTGACGTTTAGGTTAGCAGCCCAACTTGTAACTACTGCATTGTTGTTAAGTACTATTGAGACACAAGGAGCAACTCCTGAGTTTGAGTCGCTGACCTTGCAGTTCAAACCAATTTTGCAGTCCAGTGTATTAACCCACAGCATGTATATATATATATATTATGTGTGTGTGTTTTTGTCAAGTGCCATTGAGTTGGATACAACTCATAGCAACTCTTTGTAGGGTTTCAAACTGCCGACCTTGTGGTTCAAACCGACCTTATAGTCCAGTGCTTTATCCCACAGTGCCACACATATTATGTGTGTGTGTGTATACATATATACACACTTGTGTGTATATCACAAAGTCCTGATGTGATTCTGTAGGATAAACACTGGACCACAAAATTGGCGGTTCGAACTCAACCAGCTGGTCTTAGGAAACCCTATACAGGGTTGCTATGAGTCGGAACTGACTTGATGGCACTTAACAGCAACAACTTATATATATCCCTATATATCACAATTAGAACACATTGTCCTATAAAAGAGGTTAAGATATGGGATTAGATATACAGGCAGTCCTAGGTTACCAGTGTCCTACTTACAGACAAGGATGCAGTATAAAACTAAGGTTTATGTTATTGAAAATATTTTCCTGTAAATCTGTATATGAATAGTAACTCTTAAGCATATTCATGAACTCCTTTTTTTTTTTTAAAGTTTTTATTGTGAATTATGTGTTAGTTTACATGGGAGAACATTATCTTTATATTCATCCTATCATATTTTGTTTCATTGCAATGATTACAATTCCCTGCATGCATCATCAAACACTCAAAAGGTATACCCCCCACGACTGCCCCCCACCGGCTGCTCCTTCTCGCTATATCATCATCTCTAACCCCATCCCTGGTGTCACTGCTTCCCCAGCCAGGGTCCTGTACTTACCCTCCTTTTATTACAAAAATATTTACATTTACCTTTCCAATACTGTCAGACCTGATAGCAGTCATTCCCTATAGAACCACAGGAGTCTCATCCCTTCACCTTTTATTAACCCCATCTAAACAGGTTGGAAGCAAATCAGTGGCGATTCTACCTTTCCCCGTACCCTCTGGAACTAGGTTCCCTATTGAAAGCTTGTAAGCCAGTCACTTCCTGCCTTTGTAGTCTGCCCATTTTAGGTAGCCAATGTTTAAGTTGCCCATCCTTCTCAACCCTGTGAACCAAGGTGCGGGGTATGGTGGGTATGATCCTCACTGTAAAGATTTGTACACTCCTTTGTTATACTGCATCCACAAGTATAGGTCAAGTTCATCCAATTGTAGTGGGTTACTCTTTTTTTATCCTCTTCTTTCATCCTCTAGTCATGTTCTGATCATCCAGCCATTGATGCCAGGTCAAATGGGTACTATCTGTGCAAGTGTGGGTGTTCTTGTGCATCTCCCCTCACTTTGTATCAGCTGGGAGCTTTACACTCTGCTCTAGTCCTCTGGAGCCATGACCCTGCCCCTGGGCCAAGGAGTCCCCAGGTCTCATCATACTACTGGTTTAACCAGGTCTCAATCCAGGTTAACAGGAATCTATTGAGTGTGGTCGGACTTAGCTCACAACTTCATTGCTGTTTTCCCTCACTTCCCCTAATCAGTGACAAACTTGGTCAGCAATAAGACCACATTCCTGCTTGTGTGTTCCACTTGAGTTTCAGTCCAGGAAGGGGGTTTGCCTTGGAACTCTCCTTTTTTAAAATCTGAACTTCAGTTGTGATAGCCAGGTCAATTTAAAGATTTTTTTTTTTTTTTTAACTTTTTTGGGGCTTTTTAAAAATAACTTAACTATGAAAGGACCAAAATTAACACATTAACACAGCATCTACAATAATTAGAAACAGACCAACAGAGGAAACCCACAGCCACCAAAAGAAAAGAAATAATAAAGATTAGAGCAGAAATAAATGAGATACAAAACAGAAACAATCAACAGGACAAAAAGCTAGTTCTTTGAAAGAATTAACAAAATCGACAGACCATTGACAAACCTAACAAAAGAAAAGAGGGAGAAGACACAAATAACACGCATTAGAAATCACATGGGTGATGTGACAA